TGCCCACATGGAGGGCAAAACAAGGCTTTCCTCCACTGACCGCCAGTTATTTTTACGAGGCTTGTATTAAGTAATAATGTAGTAAGACAGTGATATTAAAGGTCAAATTCAGTATACACCTTATTGATGATGCATACTTTGTACAGGCCAGCAAATGAACCAAGAATATAAACGCAATGCGCAAAGTTTAATATTAAAGTGCCCCTATTATGGATTTTTGTAAATTACCTTAATTACTCCCAAAACCAAAATATGAACCTTTCATTACCCATAATAGGGGCACTTTAAATGTTTTCACATAGAAAACCATTATAAAGAAAACACTTAACCATTTAGCGCATTGCGTTCATATTCTAGGCTCATTTGCTTGCCTGCATAAAGCATGCATCATCAATAAGACGTGTATTAATTTGATCTTTTAATATCACTATTTTAAAGGCACTTTAAGTGTTTTCACATTAAACGTTTTAGAATGTCCCGCTGTTTTTAGTGATTGAAATATTGCGGCAGGTGCTTTATATGGATTGCAAATGGCCAAAACTTTCATTTTGTTCACATATCTTTGTTTTATTCTTTTGAGAGGTGATCTAAATATGTTTGGATTGGAACAGATAGAAAATTGACAGTCTTGTGCTGCAGTTCTATAGATGTTTTGCCCGCCAGGTCTTCGAGCAAGTCACGTGGCTAACTATGAATTTGTTCGAGGAGATTCTGAGACACCTGTTTGTGATATGTTCTCATCATATTTTGTTTTTCTTTTCATTTTCGTCTGAATCTTTAACCGCAGTTTCAGAAGATAATTTCTGATCATAGATTCCCTATAGTAGGATTTGAACCTGTAACCTCTGACTCAATCCCTCACCCTAAATATAACGTCTCATCGCGCTGGAGGTGGAAATTCTCCTGTGAATGACACAAGAGTCTCCACATGTATGTTTAATGTGTGCGAGCGAGAATCTGTTTGTCTGCAGTGCATCTAGTCGATGTGTATTGAGTGTTTTGAACCGTCAGTCACGACCTGAAGCTCATCTGACACTGAGATGAGTTTGCGGTTCATTCTGGGCTTTATTTGATTTATAGACAAACGTGAGCGTGTTTTAACTCAATCCTCACTAGTCCTACTGCTGCTCTAGCACTATTAGTTAAGTGTGTGTGTGTGTGTGTGTGTGTGTGTGTGTGTGTGTGTGTGTGTGTGTGTGTGTGTGTGTGTGTGTGTGTGTGTGTGTCGCCCTGCAGCGTTTGTGCTTCAGACGTGAATGATTCCTCAGATCATGGAGAGTGTGCTGCTACTCCGGTGATCAGACACACTGTTTTCACCTGCTGGACAAAGAAAACGGGTACATATAGTATAGTAATTACCTAGCAACCACCCACAGTACCCTAGCAACAGCATATTAATGCCCTAGCAACCAGGCAGCAAACTTACACACACACATACACTCACACAACTTTGGACTGAAGTGGAACAGCGTGTATCCAAAATAGCAGTGTGTGATTTACTCGACATGGACTGAAATCCCTGTGGAATGTTTGTAGTCCGTGTTTAAATCCAAAGCTGCGAGAAACTCCGGATCGTATAGAGTTAACAGCAGGAGCACACAGCTGAACCTGAGCGTGTGGATCAGTGGATCTGCTGACAGGTGACGGACATGACTGTAGCTCACAAACACAGAGCGGATTTACAGAGTGAAGCCCCAGAAAACCTGCCAGTCACAGATAAAACTGAACACACACACACTCTCACATACACACACACACACACACACACACAAACATACTTGTATTTGTGGTTTACGGGGACTCGGGAGATTCGAGATCGGTCTGTAATTAACTAGTTCTTTGGGGTCAAGTTGTGGTTTTTTGATGAGAGGCTTAATAACAGCAGGTTTGAAGGTTTTGGGGACATATCCTAATGACAATAACGAATTAATAATAGTCAGAAGAGGATCTATGACTTCTGGAAGCACCTCTTTTAGGAGCTTAGATGGAATAGGGTCTAACATACATGTTGTTGGTTTAGACGTTTTAACAAGTTTATACAGTTCTTCCTCTCCTATAGTAGAGAATGAGTGGAATTGTTCCTCAGGGGATCTATAGTGCACTGTCTGGTGCGATACTGTAGCTGACGGCTGCATGATTACAATTTTATCTCTAATAGAAGTAAAGTAGTTCATTACTTCTATTAGAGGTAAGTCATTACTGCTGTGCTGATGGGAAATGTCAACATCTGTTGATGCTTTATTTTTCGTTAATTTAGCCACTGTATTGAATAAATACTTGGGGTTATGTTTATTTTCTTCTAAAAGAGACGAAAAGTAATCAGATCTAGCAGTTTTTAATGCTTTTCTGTAGGATAGGTTACTTTCCCGCCAAGCAATACAAAATACCTCGAGTTTTGTTTTTCTCCAGCTGCGCTCCATTTTCCGGGCTGCTCTCTTTAGGGTGCGAGTGTGCTCATTATACCACAGTGTCAGACTGTTTTCCTTAATCTTCCTTAAGCGTAAAGGAGCAACTGTATCTAAAATGCTAGAAAAGAGAGAGTCCATAGTTTCTGTTACATCATCAAGTTGTTCTGAGGTTTTGGATATGCTAAGGAATTGAGATAAATCAAGAAGATTACAGGTGCATCTCAACAAATTAGAATGTCGTGGAAAAGTTCATTTATTTCAGTAATTCAACTCAAATTGTGAAACTCGTGTATTAAATA